TTTCAACATTCTTATCGATTAATTCAACATGCTGCGTTCGAAGATGGGTTTCAAGCGAGGTGAGTGATGGTAAAAAGTCGCTACAAACCTCGCACTCCTTACCTTTCTTCCTGGTAACTGAATGTGGTGGTGTTGAATCTCGACGGCGTTTAGTACAAGTAGTAGTAGATGATGAAAATGAAGTAGGAACTCGCATCTCAAAATTGGATTGAGGTTCAATAGTTGATAGTGGTGGCGCTTGATATCTAGGTTTAATAGCTAGTCCATGAAGTAATCTTTGATGTGCGTACAAGTTATCTCGCCTCGAAAAATATTTTCCACACATCGAACAATCAAATTCGGTTTGGTTATGTTTAGTTCATATAACCAAATGTATTATATATGTTATTCCATTAATTAATGATTACGACACTTTTTTTGATAAAGTAAAGGAAGATCAGGAACACGTGCTATGAACGCCCTATTGTATCTGTTCTGATGCTGTTCTGGCTATTCTGTCACAAAGCTACCAACTAAACAAAAATAGGTTAGAAATCCCTAGAATACCCTAAACATTAAACTAAAAAAAAACTTTTAAATATCATATTAATTTTTATATATTTATTTTAGATTATTAATTTCATTACATAATTCTAAATTTTTTATTTATCTGAATAAATTTGTTGAAAATTAGGTATATGTATAATAGATGACGCTGATATCAACGTTTTTAAATTGGTTACTTGTTTATTTCCGTCGATAGGTGGCGGCAAAGAAACAATGAAAAATACTTTAAAGAAAGATATAGACAATATAAAGCATTATAAAAAAAATCTGAATTCAAAATTAAAGATGCTTGTGCGAAATCCATAATAATTCAGTGCATAACAGATCGACACTTAGATTTAATAAAGGATTCAAAAACAGCAAAGGAAATGTTGAAATCTTTAGAAGATGTTTTTCAGAGAAAAAGTGTATTTACAAAGTTAACACTTAAAAGGAAATTATTGACATTAAAATTAAAGAAACAAGAAAAACTGGAAGATTATTTCTTAAAATTTGATAGTAATATTAGAGAATTGGAAAGTATAGGAACAAAAATGGACGAATTTGATAAGATTTGTCACTTATTACTGTTATTAAACGAAGATTATGATCAAGTTATTACAGCTATAGAAACATTAAATACAGAAATTAGTATGGATTTTGTAAAATCAAGACTGTTAGATGAGGAATTAAAACAGAAAAGTAAAGGTGAATCAAGAAATATTGAAGAAGTAACTTTCAAAGCATTTCCTTTTTCATGTTATTCGTGTGGTAAAAGTGTACATAAAAGTAACGAATGTAAATAACGAGCACAAATTAATTTCAAAGGAAGAAGAAGAGGTGGTAGAGATTTGAAATATCGTGGACGAGGAAGAAGATATAAAGTCGAAACTGTAAATGAAGTACATACAAATAATATCACCTTTATTGCATTGAATAGATTTATAGAAGAAAATGTGAGAAACTATTTTCATACTCGATTCCGGGGCAACTCAACATTTATTGTCAGAGGAAATGTTGTCCTATGCAACAGAAGTTGAAAATTTGGAAACCTTTATAAAAATACAAATAGCAAATGGTAATTACATGTTGGCAAAGAAGAAAGCAACTGTAAATGCATATTAGAACGATAGAAAAATTACAATTAATGCATTAATAGTAGAAGGATTAAAACACGTTTACCAGAAATTTTATAAAGTTATATTCAAATGGATGCGAAATTGAATCCAAGACATTAAAAGGGTTATTTATATTAGAATTAAAATTTAAAGATGAAAATAAATATACTAAACCAGAAATGTGATGTAATATAACACAAAATGAAGATGTGCAGATAGAAAATTGGGACATCTAAATAAAATTGGGTTAGTTACTCAATTTACCAGTAAGTGAAGAAAGATGCAGAATATGTATAGATAGAAAATTGACAAGAAAAGCATTCGCGAAATTCAACAAAGAAACTCAGCATTCTATTGAATGCAAGACATTAAAAGAGTTATTTATATTAGAATTAAAATTTAAAGATGAAAAAAATGTGTGTAATTAAATTCACTAGAAAAACTAAAAACATGGGAAGAAACGAACCTACCTGAAGGAAAGAAAGCTATAGAAACGAAATGGATAATCAAGACAAATGAAGATGGCACAAATAAAGCAAGTTTTCAAGAAAACCACGTAACTCCAATTTTTACCAAAAAGAAGATCTTGATGTAGTTATGCAACAAATTATTAAATCTACCAATTCCGAAAACTTCGCGTATATTGAAATACACGTTTTCGCTCAAATGCTTAAAATAAAAAGCAATTAAATAGGACTGTCAGTTAAGTAGGGTAAAACGCCAGTAATTGACCGTTGGTCAGTGTTTGACCGTTTATGTAAAAAAATGTAAAAAATAAGGTTCCAAGGAATATCTAAAAAAAAATAAATCTGTCCACAAATAGCCACCAGTCTCTTCTCCACCTCCTACTACGCAAAAAGTCTACGACCATACCGTTCTTGAGTTCTTGTTGTTTAATTTGCACTAACTGCCGGCCTATTCACATCGTGCTAAAAATGGTAATTTTTATGTTTAGAAATTCGCCTAAACAAGGTCGTATTATTCAGCCGTTTTTGCATGTATGGTGTTTTTTTTTGTTGCCAGTGATCTAATAATGCTTTCTATTAGTTGTATTAAAAAATTACCGCTTTAATTAATTATTTGTGAAAATAAAGGCGGTCAAAGACTAGTAGTTCTAAATTTAATTAAAAATTAGTGTTTGACCAAACAGTCAAATACTAGACGAATTGGTTGTGGTATAACCTCACAAGTATTTATATTTGATTAATAAAATGGAAAAATGTGTAATACCTATTTTTAAAATTTATATCTTTCCGTTTAAATTGTTTAGTATTTGACCAAAACTTTTATACTTTAAAAGTAAGATACAATCAGTTTAAATATGCGGTCAATTACTGATTCTTCTTTTGGTCATTTATAGTACACAAACAGGGCAAACACTGAGTTTTTTAACCGATTTTAAATTTTATAAATATTTAAGCCTAATATAATTGTAAATGTTTGGTTCTTTTCTATTTTTTTAAGCCTTTTTTATAACAATAAAAGTAATTGAACACACTTAAACAGTAATCAATCTGTAAAATTAAAAGGATAAAAGGTTGGTCAAACGCTGACTCTTATAGTGGTCAATTATTATCAAAAATGGAAAATCTATATGGAAAATTTAGCAAATATGAATCAGGTTAATTTTTTTTAGTACCAATATGACAACGAAGCCTAAGTTTAAATATAGTGAAGAAGATCTTCAAAAGGCTTTCGATGCAAGAAGTAGGGGTTTATCTTATAAAAAAGGATTATTTATAAAGAAAAAGGAAAAACACCAATGCAATTTGAAAATGGACCAGCATTTTTAAATTATGATGAAGAAATACTACTGGTTGAATGGTAGTTTCATTCAGCAGTCCTGTTACAAAAACCAGTTGGAAAACACAAAATTTGGGTGAAAAGTTAAGTCAACAACATTTTGCTCCATTTAAAGAGTAAAAAAATATAAACATTTTTTTATGAACAAAATAGTATGGAAAAATAATGAAAAAGAATATTATATTAAGAATCGGTCAAACACTTACGGTTTTAAGGTCAAAGACTAGATATTATTGGTCAAATAATGTAATCAAAGTGGTCAAACACTGAATGCGAAATACAGTTATTCTTTTTAATTTTTAAAAAATATTACTTTTTGATGTTATATTTTATATGTAGGGTAAGTAACTTTAAATGAATCATATGTGTATTTGATCATATTTTGATCATTTTATGTAAAGGCAGAGGGATCTACAAGAAAAATAATATGACTCGGTCAAACACTGACATTAAAATATCCTTAACAGGTCAAACACTGGTTTTACGTGGTTTTCTTACTAAGCCGACGATATGCCCCAGTGGCAAGAACAAATACAATAAGAGTAATGTTAGCAATACGGAAAGGATGGAATATCGGACAATTGAATATACCCACAGGTTTCCTGAACGAAATACTTGGTTTATATATATACAAACCAAAAGGTTATGAATCAACGTCAAAGTACCTGAAACTGAATCGAGCGTTATATGGGCTGAGGAAATCTCCAAAAGCATGGAATATATACAAAATTCAACGAAGTTGTTTTAAAGTACAAGTTGAAACGATCACTTTATGATTGTTGTTTATATATTAATAAGAAAATATGGCTTTTAGTTTATGTTGATGATTTATAGATAATTGGAGAAGATATAAATATAGAAGAAATGGTAAATAAATTAAAATTAGAATTTAATGCTAAAGATTTAGGAAATGAGAAGTCATTTTTAAGATTGAATATAGTTCCATACAGATAAAAGTTTAAATATAAATCAAACAAATATGGGAGATAAAATTCTCAAAACATTTGGCTTGGAGGATTCGAACCCAGTTGTAGCGCCGATGGAAACGAATTTTAATGTAATTGAAGATAACGACGAAATTAAAAATGTTTCTTATAGAGAACTTATAGAAAGTTTGATGTACCTTTGCAGTGATCACACGACCAGATATTATGTTCTCAGTGTCTTTTCTTAGCAGATATTTAAACAGGCAAAGAGAATTCTTCGATATTTAAAAGGAAACAAGAATTTAGACCTTAATTATAAGTTAAATAGGACAATCAATAGCTTGATTGCTTTTTTTTCTATCTGATAAATCAGATAGAAAAAGTATCAGTGGCGGAATTTTATTTTATGGAAATAATGTAGTGCATTGAAAATGAGCGACTCAAAAAGGCTATTTATTTCATCATTACTACCAGAAAAGTCGCGAAAAAAGTATGAACAAACTTATGAGCGCTTTATTCAGTGGTGTAATTAGAAGGATGTAAAAAACGAAACAAGTGAGAAACTTTTGCTAGCGTACTTCGGAAGTATGTCGAACAAGTATAAATCGTCAAGTCTTTGGGCTTTTTATTAGATGTTGTGAGCGGTAATGTCTATGAAAAAGAATGTAGACATTAGCAAGTATACTCAAAGAGTCGTTTTTTTAAAAGGACAAGGTGAGATGTATAAATCGAAAAAGTCTAAGGTATCGTCGAAAATCAACATAGAAAAATTTCTAAAAGAAACGGACGATGTAAGTTTATTACTGGCTAAAGTAAATTGCTTAAGCTATTTGAATATTGGCTTCATCAACTAACTGAAATTATAAAATTCTTTTTCAGGTTGAGTTGTTTATAGGAATTGCTGGAGAGTGTCGCAAACAAGAGCTGGCCGATTTGGTTTTAGATGTTAAAGATGATGGCCAAGTATTTTGTATTAACATTCCGTACACAAAAACCGATGTTTCGCGTGAATTTTATATAGTGCCTGGAGGTTTTGAAGGAATAAATATGAAAGGGAGTTTGCAGTAAACAGTCTGTTGGCATAAATACCTTGGTAATATGCTACAGCAACCAAACAAAAAAAAGTAAACAAAAATTTTGCAAATGCGACCACGTGAAATTTAGGTAAAAATGGATAGAAATAATAACAATTCTTCAGAAATATCGGCCTTAGCGGTTGAAGCTGTTGCCAGTTTATTACCACACATATCAAGAGATAAATATGAAAAGATCTACGATATTTTCTGTTCCTGGAAGACTTCAAAGAACGTAACAGATGGCAATGAAGAAGTTATGCTTGTTTTTTTTCATGAAAAGGTTAGTTTCCTTGAACACATTTATAAATTTTCAATTTTTATCTTTACATTTGATTATAGGCAGACAGACCGAAATCTTCCACGCTGTGGTCAACATATTCTGTGAAGCGTCTGGCGATACCTTTCTACTGATTAAAGTGGCTTTAATTTTCGATTTGTATGGTGCCTGTCGTAGTGAGGAACTAAGAAAGTTAAATGTGGAGGATATCGAGGATACCGACTCTGTTTTGGTTGTCACACTCCATGATACTAAGACAAAGAAGAAGCGCATATTCACCGTTTCGAAGGAAATTGGAGGAATTAATGAGATTGAGCTGTACAGGAGATATGTAAGCTTGCGCCCAAAACATATCAATCACTCAAGATTCTTCATATTTTATATGAACAATAAATGTACCGTGCAAAATCGCATTATACGAAGTCGTTTTCATGGTAAAGTTTAGTAATTTTTTATGATTAGCATTCTATTTTACAACAAAAAAATACGTCATTTTGTACAAAAATATGTTAACAATCCTATGTATTTACTTTTGAATAAAGATGTAAGAAAAAGCCGCGAGTCTGCACCAAGTGAACCACTGTCGGTTTATATGTATAAAAATCGCCATAGAACGGCGGTCTTCTTACTTATTTATGTGTAGTGACTGATAGCTACAAGGTAAAATATAAATACTTTAAAGACAGTATGCCATTGAACCACCGAAATCTTTTCAGATTAGTATTAAAAGCTTAGCAGTGAATAAAAATAAAAACAAAAAAGTGATGTGTGTAAGGAATACATTTATTTTTTGAAAACAACGTAAAAGGGAAACTAAATAAAAACTATGTACAAAGTAAATACTAATTAAAATAACATGAATACAATTATTTATAGATTAGATACTATTGTTAATACTATGACCCCAAGCTAATGCATTAATTCCATCATGGCAAATATATCGCTTATGATTAACCCACCCATAATTTTTTGATTTTTTAGTAACCCACCAATCAGCAACCTTATTAGCATATATCTTCGATCTCAAACCCACAAATGCTTCCATAATTTCAACGCAATTTTCACCCTTCATTTTACCTAAAACCACTTTATTTTGCAAACTGAATATCAGGACTGTAGTTAGACGTGTCAAATTTATTTAAATTTAATCTAATATCTTTATACACGTCATCAGAATCAATTATGTAACAAACCGCATTTTGGGATTCGAAAGCGATTAAAAAATAAAAAGTAATACATTGTAGTAATTGTAACAAATAGTATTTTGGGGATTAGAAAACCGATTAAGCAGTAAACGCAATACATTGTAGTAAACAGTAAGAACCATTGTAAAGGCAGAACTTTGTAATTTAATTACGAAGTCGTGAGAACCGAGGGTCCAGACTAAATACTACGTAGGCGGTTCTGGCAGGAATGTGCCGAAGTGGCAGTAAGAGTAGATGGAGCAGGGAAGAAATGAAGAAAAAATCAAATAGTCGGTACGGGATTGGGACGGAAAAGGGATCGGGCGAAACCGGGAAATTAAAGTTTTTGGTGTGTTTTAAATTCGAGACGTGCGATTTGAACTTATAACAATTTAGTTATAAAATTCGTTGTATTGGTTTCTTTTTCTTCTTTGAATATTTTATTTTAACAAATGGGTGAGCATTATTAAAATCTTATAACATCTGATTTCTCATTGAACCTGCTAACCACCTCGGCAAATTTCGTAATAAGAGTAAATGTATCAAAGCTAAATTGTTGAATAGATTACGTCGTATAATTTTTACTTTTTAAAATATTTGTTCAGTTGTTTTTTTATATAATTCGTTCCTTTTCAAAAATAAAGTAAATTTATTCTTTAACAGTGAAATTTCGTTTTCTTTCAATCTATTTTTATTCTTAATTCTAAATTACTGCCGTTCGCTTTCAAGTAAACGAATGCAGTGAACGACCCCTAACTTAGTCATTGCTAGCTATCAAGAAAAGGGTAGTGCGTGGACAGTTGGGTACGCGAGCCGCTCCGTGGACCTAGCTAGGAAAACCCACTACGGGAAACGAGAAGTTCTCGAGAGCTAGTTTGTGACAATTAATACGGTGAAGCTATCCGTATCCATGTAGCATAACCAAATACCTTCACCATACTTGGGTTTTAAAAAATCATTAAAAAATTGTACATTAATAATTTCGAGCTCTAAAACCGTAAAACCAACATATAGAGGTTTATCGTAAACGACGTGAAGACGTTCCATTTGAATAGCCGAAAACGTTTCCGCGCACGAAGACGCGGTCGACCTGTTATGACGTTAGTATGGTTATCATCCCAACTAATCTTACAACGACTCTCTTATCAACTAAACTTATCAACTTTACCAAAAACCGAATATTCATTAATTTAAAAAAGTCTTTTTCAAACATGTTTTTAGCTGATTGACGTAATTCCGTATTTTTGTCAATGTAAGATTTCAACCAAGTCGACTGCCTAAACGATAAAACTCTATTAATTTTGCAAACTTTAAGACCGTGAGCAACGGCTTGTTTTAAATTTCTATAATGAATGTAATTTTTCTTATTAAATAAAAAAAAGTTTTCAGCCAGGATCATTATGTAAATCATGTAAAACTTTGGGATATTCAATATTTACAGTGTGTGGATTAATTATCGTACCCTACGTCATCATTGCAAGTATGCAACCAATATCACAGTATTGGTATTGCAACACGCGATTTACGTATTACATACGATAATACTGTGATATTGGTTGCATACCTGCAATGATGACGTCGGATACAATAATTAATTAACACAGTGTACAGCTAAAATACATCCAAAATCAGAATGAATATAGGTTACATTATTAAAATCTAAATTTTTTATTTCATTTTTAGTGAACCATTTAAAATTGGAAACAGGAATTAATTGAGACATTTCCCACCCATATAAATTATTAGCGTCCCAATACATTAAAAATTTTGCGGTTATGATTTTCTGTTGCTCATTGACTGTTAAAGGTAGCATTGGTTTTACGGTTTTGAAGTATTCATTATAAATAAATTTGACATCATCAAGTAATTTTGAAATAAAATCTTGAGATGAATTGAGACTGAAACTGTAAAGTTGATGCATCTCAACTTTTTTGGTAAAAAAAGTTGCCTAAAAACGAACATAATTTATTAATAAAATAATTTATTGTAATAAAAATAATTATTACCAATAATAAATCTGTAAGTGGTTGAGCTAATTTCTCCAAAACATATTTAATCTCCATCCATAACTCATTGGACTTAAACTCATACCTATATTTCTTGAACAATGAATGCCCCCCTGTACATAAAATTCCATTAATAACATCGGTAGAAAATGTTTCAATCATCTGAGGAATTAATTTGGGCCATGTTAATGGGAAATCAGTGTTTTCAATAATACTGATAGCATCACTTAGTTGCTTTTGTATTATCTTATATATCAGATCAGGTTGATCCTCATCTACACTCCAATTCCTTTTAATATAATTCTCAAAAGCAATAGATTCAGCAACACATATTTCCATCTGAATATCATTGGTATGAACAAGAAGTACTAGGAGAAGTGGATAGTTTTGATTCACTTCAATTCCTTCCAAAAACTTTTCTGCTACAAATAAGTAAAAAGAGGTTATTTACATTTGTTTATATAAAAATGTTCTTTTTTGCGGTTATTATGTTATTAATTATTTGATTTTTACCTTGGTTTCGTATATTAACATCAGGGCGTAACGTTTGTTGTAGGTAACCTCCGAGGATCCACAAATTATCATCCGATACATCCATTATGTTCGATTGAGGTTAGATGAAAGAACACACAGAGTATACTCTGTGAAAGAACATCAAGAACACGTGAGTGCTGTAACCCTACTCCAAGTATGCCACCCTATTCTATCACAAAACTACCAACCAAATAAAAATAAATAAGAAATCCCTAGAATACCCAAGGTCCGTTGAGTAAACATACTGTATAAGGTTATCCAACTCCATAATATGAACGTATCCCCCCGCAAAGGCCTTGCTGTGACGTCATTGGAAGAATTGACATTTCTATGTTTTTATTTATACAGTGTATTTCACTTAAGAAGCAATATACAAAAATATAAAAAAAAAGAAAAAATAAAATTAAAAATATTAAAATATAAAGCGAAATATTAACGGTTATACTAAATTTTATTATTGTTAGGTTGTCCAACGTTCAACTTGACTCGGTTGCTATGGTGATTAAGATCCAAATATTGCAGGTGCTTGTCAAAATTGAAATTGAATTTAAGTTTTTTTAAGGAAAAAGTTTCATTTAATTGCTTTAAAAGGCTGTATTTAACTCAAAATTGGTTTATCTAGGGTGTTATAAACAAGGTAAGTGGATTAAATCAAAAAGATATTTTTAATTTATTTCTCTTAATTAGAATCGATTTAAATTAACTACAATAAACGAATTTGTTATGAATGCGAGATAAGAATTAGAATTGTTTTAAAATTAATAAAAATTAGGTTAGAATTGGTAAAAAAATCGAAATAAAATTTTATTATTTTAAGGTTATCCAACTTGACTCGGTTACCATGGTGATTAAAATCCAAATATTGCAGTTGTTTGTCAAAATTGACGTTGAATTTAAGTTTTTTTAATGAAAAACACATAATTGATTGGATTTAAAGGTTGTATTTAATTCAAAATGGGTAAATGGATGAAATTATAAGCAAGGTAAGTGGATTAAATCAAAAAAAAAAATNAAGAATTTTAAGTCTCAAAACACAAAAAAGTTACACTAAAAAAACATTAAACCCGAAGTTAGCAACAATAAAGATAGCAATTTAATTTTTAATATTAATACCAACCTTAATTTTATTTTTTTTTTATTATATTTTTGTTTTTGTGACAAATACTAAGAAATTTTATAAAAATTAAGAATATGTCAAAATGACATTGACATTTCAAATCGGAAGTCGCTTATATCTCGAATAATATTGGAATTAAAAGTATCATGTTTGGGTTCATTTTAAAGTATTTTTCACGACGATTACAAATATGTCAAAATTGACGTTGACATTTGTAACTGAAAATTGACCATAACTTTATTAATATTGAAGATAAATATGTCGTGTTTGTACTCATTTTAACGGATTTTTAATGAAGATTACAAATATAATAATAATAAGAAACAAGGTAAATATTAATTAAAATTATATACTATGGTGATTATTTATATATTTGTCTTACTAGTTTCGGTTACAATCAGGTTATTTTTAAAATGTTTACTATTTAGAATAACACTTGGCAAAAAATTTCGGAAGAATATAATGCAGCAACGACCGACCCAAGATCCGCTGACCAACTGTGGGGAAAATTTGACAATCTGAAAAAAGAGGCAAGAAAATTTTTTGCTCGGGTGAATCAACAGCTGTACGCTACTGGGGGAGGTAGTTCAGATATTAATGTAAAGCTGAGTCGAAAATTGGTGTTTGACAAAATAAAAACCTCACCGAATACTCAGTGGTTGGGTTGGCAGCAAGTCAAGGAGACAGTGATTTTAGAGAAGAACCACCTTCAAACCACAACGAAACTGTGGATCCTCAAACACCATCCACAAGTAAATCAGCGACACAAACGACACCAGAAGAAAGCCCCACAACATCCAATAATGCAGAAAATGGTGAAGATTTATTAGTGTCTGCAGATGGTAAGTTTATAAAATAAAAAAAAATATTTTAAAATCAACATGCGTAGTATGCATGTTGATCTAGATTGGCGAGAGTATACACCGTCCAAGTTAAGGAATCGGAAAAATCCCCTTTTACGGGTGAAGAGAATACCTAAAGGTATATATCAAATATGTAGATTACTGCACACTAATGATAATTTTATAGGAAACACATTAATTTCCGAACTGAAAAACCGTGTTCTTTTATTGAAAGAACAACTTTTACAGAAAGAGGACGAAAGGGAAAATGAATTTCAAAAGTTAAGGGTCGAAAAAGAAAAAGAATTATATGAATTAAAAATTGAAGGAGAAAAGTTAAAAAATGAAGAAAGGCGTTTAAGAATAGAATTGTTGAAAAAAGAACTTAATAAATAAAATTTTTACAAAATCCAATTTGTTTTTAATTATATAAAGAGAATTATTTTATATAAAACATCATTTTATATGGTTAAAAACGTTATATATTAAAGTAAAAACATAAAAAATTCAGTTATAAATTGGCAAAGTAATGAATAAATGGTTGACGAAAAAGGCCTTCCTGGTTTGGTTAAACGTCAACGTCTACATCGTCCATCTCGATGTCGTCTTCTTCGGGAGGTTCGTCGTTATATTTTTTTGCCATGTTATGTAACACTGCACATGCAATAATAATTTTTTTTGCATTGACCAATGACAAACGTATGCCCAATGATAAAATAGGGAATCTATGCTTCCAAACGCCAAACAATCTTTCAACGGGATTTCTTGTTCTTATTTGTGCTTCTTGAAATAGTGTTTCAGCGTGATTAGTAGGGTGCGGATGAGGGGTAATAAGATATTTCCGTAACGCATATCCTGAATCTCCCAACAAAATTGCATTATCAAACTTACCCCTTTCAAAGTTCGAGCACACTTTTGAATTTATGAAAATTGTCTGATCATGCGTTGATCCAGGCCATCGTGCTACAATATCCTGGATAAATAGATTGGCATCTGCTATAACCTGCACGTTAATTGAAAAAAAAACCCTTTCTATTTCTAAAATATTCTGCATTTTGTTCACCTAAAAATATTATTTATTATTCTATATTTATTTATGCTTCTTATACAGTGTGTCCCCGGATAGGTGAAACGACTCTTATAAAATGTAAATTTTTAGCTCAACTTTGATCGCTCATAGCTCGAAAACAAAAGAGTTGCGACCCTATGTTTATATAAAAAACTTGTGTTATTTTGGCAAGTACTACGTCCTAGTAAAGTTTCCCGATTAAAAACTGAACCACCCTGTATATGCTGTTATATATGTATACATATTTTTACCCGGCGACTGAATCTTTATGTGTGTACAATCTATTGCTCCAATCACTTTTGGAAATTTAGCAATACCCAAAAATTCCAGTTATTTTGTAGCTATGTCGTCGGGAATTGAAGGCAATTTTATGTGTTCACCGGTCAGTTCACAAATACCATCAAGCACTTTTTTCATAATGCGGCAAACTGTAGATTTATGTACACCCCCAAAATCGCCAATTGTTGTGTACACACTGCCTGTAGCTAACAATCGCAACACCAATAGCAGCTGTGTCATCGGCGATACAGCATGATTTCTATAAGTTATAAAATGTTAGTTTTAAATGAAATATTAAATTACCGTTACATACCTGTTTAGCGGTTGAAGTAAATTGTTAATTAAGTCTTCAAAGAGACACAAACGGTTTCCTTATTTAAGCGGAATCTCGTTTTAAATTCCGAATCATTCCATTGCTTAAAAAAAAATGGTCGGGTCTTTGACGAAAATTTTTAGGTGCTCTAGGATTTGTAGGGTTATTTTCTTCGTCCTCGGAATCGGATGAACTGCTTTCTTCCCATAACAGCTTTCTTCGTTTATTCTTACGTAGATCTTCCAATTCGTACTCCGATTCGGATGATGATGCAGATGTCATTTTCTTTCCTTTCTTAACAATGAAAACATACAGATATTATATTTTACTTACGAAACATAAGTAAACACTGCTATCACAAATTATGACTTACCTACGAACACAAATCTTATTTACTCAAAAATTAATAACACAGTAAACTTGGAATGTTTTTATACGAATACAAGGTATCACACTAATAACACAAAATAATCGCTCGCAAAATGATCTATGTCGAAAATTACATCGAAAATTAAAAATTTGGTTAGGTTAACGTAAAGACGGGTATCTTTACGTTTTCGAAACCACGCATTTCATTGGTTGAGAGTTGGCGCGCAGTGCAGCCAACATTGACCGCGACCGGTTGACGGCAAGCTAATAAACCGGAGGTTAAAATCCTGTCATAAAACGTATCGATGTTCAACCTTCGGTTAACTGCTCAACCGGAGGTTTGATAACCGGCGGTCAACGTCTACTTTTATAAAACCAGCCCTTAATCTCACCAACATACGTTGTAACTTTTATGGTTTCTATGGTTATATGTCATAAATTGAACTTGAAAAATTTTCAATTTAGAAAAAAGTCCAATTTTTATGTAAAAATTGGAATAATTAGTTAACTTTTATAGTTAGAGTATAAAATTCATTCGATTTAGGGCCGGTTTTACAATGTACGGTTGACAGTAGGTTCACTGTCAACCTCCGGTTAACCGTTAGTTTGCGTTGTACGACCTACGGTTGAGTAATAAAGTTCCGGTTAAAGGGAAGTTATCCCAACCGCAGGTAAAAGTCGAGGTTGACCGAGGGTTGATATACGCACATGCGCAGAACTTCACAAAGTTGTCATGATCTGTCATGAAAGTTGTCATCAACCGGGCGTTTAAGAATAGAAAAGAACTTAATAAAAAATAAAATTTTTACAAAATCCAATTTGTTTTTTAAACTAAAATTAGAACTAACACTAGAAACTTTCGGGTTTTGCCGTGCGTCTTTTAATAAAAGGTTTGACGTTTCGGATGCCATGTTGCAACCTTCTTCAGAAACTGGTTCGAAGTTCGAAGATTACTTCTGAACCAGTTTCTGAAGAAGGTTTCTAGTGTTAGTTCTAGTTTTAGTTCTAATTTTAGTTTAATTTATACCGGCCGTGAAAGCCTTCGTACTTATACAATTTGTTTTTAATTATATAAAGAGAATTATTTTATATAAAACATCGCAAAAAAAAAACGTTTTCGAATGCACGCATTTCATTGGATGAGAGTTGGCGCGCAGTGCAGCCAACATTGACCGCGGCCGGTTGACGGCAAGCTAATAAACCGGAGATTAAAATCCTGTCATAAAACGTATCGATTTTCAACCTTTGGTTAACTGCTCAACCGGAGTTTTGATAACCGGCGGTCAACGTCTACTTTTATAAAACCGGCCCTTAGTAGTTTGAACATATCCGACGCATTATTTATGCTGAGATAGGTTTGAAAAATCAGTAACAAAAATTATTTTCCTCTTTGTAACTCGATCCGGGGACATACTGTATGTATCTTATTCTCTTGTAGCAGAAAATATCAAAAAGTTGCGCCAGTGGTGGATGCATACAAAAGGTATGGAAGTTTCTACCGATTTCCAAACCCACAAATGTATCCAGAAATATATCAAACATGGGTTTTATGTTGTGTGCGATAAGACCTGCTTCAGTGTGAACAGTTGAGGGTTTATAATAATTTTCGAGTTTGTGATAAGCCTTTTCGACGATAGGATGTTGGACGTAACAACAAATTGTTGAAAGGAGTAATACCATCATTAAATTTGCCAGTATGTGTATAAAATTATCAAAATGTTGTTAGGACTGAGGCATATTTTTTTTCACATATAGGATATCAGTACTTAGAATTGAGTACTTCAAGTGCTTCGAATAACACGCCCACTACTCCACATGCAGATATGGGACTTCAGGTTGCTTCAACATCCACCAGTGCAATCTCATTGGAGACTCCAGGTAAGAAATTATGTGTTTTATAAATCGTTTATTTTGAAAAGCTCCTTTAAACATCTTTTAACAAAGTTATTTTGACTTTCAAATGTGTTGCAACCTATCAGAATTTAGTTAAATTTACCACTTTTTCGCGGTAATATTTCACCTTATACCGAAAGAGTTAAATCACTTCGTAAAATTTTTAACAGTTTATCATTAATCATTACACATTGTTTATAGTTATTGTTCTTTTATATTAAAATAAGACTTTATGTTTATGATAATAATTTTAATAAAAAGATTATTAAAATCCACAAATGTCCTTTATTTTTTTATTTAATTCCACACAAAAGAATTAGAAAGTTTTAAATTTAAGATTTATCACGTTAGCCGCTATTTAATATTAGTAATGGGCCGAGCCGTTCGGAGCGCTGGTGCCGTGTACAAAAATTTTACGTAAATGTCACATCTATATAAGTTATCTATGAGCTCTTCTAAGTTATTAGGTTGTAGCGTGATACTACATGGCGTTAGGTGTATAAACAATTAGAAGAAAACCAGTTCGAAAATGGTGCGAGTAAGAACAAGTCGCTAGATGACCTCGGTGTGGTGCGCGTCTTTCGTAGTCGTTCCGTTAAAAAGAAAACCGAATTATTATGTTTTCCTTAAGTATTGTCTGTAACCGTATAATACGAAATATCTAACGTTGAACCTAAATTAATATAAGATTAAAAAGAAACTGTGACGTGAGTTTTTGGTTAGCCCCTCAACGACCGTTACAAGGTCTATTAAAATAAACCTTGGATACCCCACAGAAAAAATTCTAAAGTAGTCAAGTCTGGGGAACGTGGTGACCACTCAATTGCTCCTCGATGCCCTATCCATCTTTCATGAAGTGTTGCTTTTAGATATTGACGGACGTCTACACCAAAATGAGGAGCCGCCCCATCTTGTTGAAACCAAATATCCTGATGAGGCACATCTACCTCGTGATCATTTGGAAAAATTACTGCCAGAGCTGGCATTAAACCTACTCGGAAGAAATTTAGATAACTTGCTGCTTTAAGATTTCCTTGAAAAAAGAAAGGCCCTATGGAACGCCGTCCGATTATTACCATCCATTTTGCCTCGACGTTTACTGTGGGAGTCTTGAGTCCAGTGAGGATTTTTTCGTGACTAATATCTGGAGTTGTGACGATGTACTGTTCCATTCAGGCAAAAAGTGGCTTCAGCAGAAAATAGCATGTTGTTAAGAAAATTAGGATCTTTATCGCATCGTAACATTAATTGTTCACAAAACTGTAAACGGCGATCTGAATCATCCTCGTGTAACTCATGTATCAATTGAACTTTGTAAGGATGATACTTCCCTTCTTTGAATAATTTTACCACGAAAGATTGATCCACGTTGTTATTTAGGGCTAGTTGCCTTGTAGAATGGTGAGGATTTTCTGCAGCTTCAACCAATACATCCAACCTGACTTCTTCACTTACTCAAGGTCGACCTTGTCAAGGCAAATCTTTTACGGATCCCGTTTCTGTGAATTTGGCAACCAATTTACTTACTGTAGATTTTACAATTGGCGCCCTATTCCAAGCCTATCGCCATATCTAACCATCATTAATATCACTATTCTTTCACGTTCGGTTAAATGTGCCATTTTTGTTAACTTCTAATAGAGTTACTTTAAGAAGTACTACACTTTCACCACTACGAGTATTAAGAACTTGATAATAAGCAAACACAACTTTAATTACTTCCTCTGTTCGATAATAGTTGCTACATTTCAGTTTAATGTAAAAATTATTGTAAATATGAAATGTACAAGCGATTTATCTAGATACATAAGATAGACAATATAACAATCAAAGTGTGCCATGACCAAAACCGACTTAGCTATTGCACTTGTTTTGTGATAATTAGTTTCTTTATGTGAAATTTGACTCTTTGAGCGATTTAACCGCTATACATTCAAAATGGACAAAAATATTTCGGAATACATTCAAACAGGTGATAAAAAGTGTAGAGAGTTTAACAACGACCAACGTAAGCAAATCTTACATTATTTATTACAAAAGGTCAGTTAAAGAAAACTTAAACGAGGCGCGATAACTGCCGCCGCTCGCAAGTTTTCTTGCAGCCGTTCAACGATCTCCAAATTGTGGAAACGAGCTATTAAAATAACAATTTTTAATGTTGATTCCCTTAAAAAAAGATGTGGACGGAAAGTCAAAGATTATAGCCAGCAACTTGCAAACATTTCTTCTCTTCCTTTGTATAAACGAACTACATTAAAGTCATTAGCTTACGCATGTAAGGTGCCAAAAAGTACATTGCATGACAGATTAAAGAAAGGAAAGGAAATAAAAGAATCACTAGTTTTGTTAAATCATTGTTAACTGAAGAAAATAAAAAATTCTCAAAGAAACAGAAGGCAAAGCGGGGGGCAAAGTTATTTCTAAGACTTGAACATACTATTTTATTAATACCTAAATGGTACAATAAAATAAACTGAATGAATCATCACTGTATTTCGTGCTTTTTGAGAAAAATTGCAGAAATAGGAAAAGCTGGATGTTGATACTTTGACTCACAAATGATCATTATTTCGATATTTCTCTATAGGCTTTGGTCGTAAATACTGTCTTCCTATTGTAAAGTATAAACTGTATGTAAAAAATAGGACGGAATTTTTGCGGTTCTCTTTTTGCAAGTGAATTTTGGATTGTAATTTTTGATTAAACAAAACTGTTTTTCAATTCAAATAATATCCAATAAAAATTGTAGCATTCCGTTTAAAATAACAAAGTTGTAGGCTACATCCGGTACACTGAATGTGGCATCTTGAAATTATTTTAAATCGAAAGATTGGGATGAATAGCACCTACTCGTAAAATCTCAGAAACGTACGAAACATGAAACCTAAAAATTTCTAACGGTCTAGTTGCGCGGAATTTCATGTACAAGAAAAAGCTGTGCTCTAACATATAGAAGATCATAATTTTTGGTAATTTCTCCATCGATTCTCATCCTGCGCACCTTGTTGTCTTCTAAAAAGAGCAAACTTTACGTAGACGGTAAAAAAGAATTTTTCTGCGACTCTCCACGGATATTGAATGAATTTTTGGTTCACATTTTGTCTAAAAAAATCCCTTTTTCACATATTATGGGTCATTGTTTTAAAACTACCGCACCGATTGGAAAAAGTATTAATACAATTTATTGGCTATACAACACTCTTTAATTTGATGAATAGCACAACCAGATCGGTCATCTCTAACTCGAGATATGCTGCAAATAGTCAAATTACCCCTAAAAAAAATCATAGCTCCAAAACGTATCCATAGAAAAAATTTAAATGTGGTTTTTAGGTTTACTACATAAGAAAAATATAGTGGCGTCAAATGTACATTTTATGAATTTTTTTGTAGGCTAGTGTTATCATACCTGGAAATTTCGCATGCAAATGCTACTAACAGAAACAGACGTTGATAAAAGCGTGGAAAAATAATTTAAAACTGAGGATTATGGAGAAACACAGAAGAAAAAAACGATGGAAGCTTAAAAAATGGATAGTAAGTGTAAATCCCTAATAGTACAATGTTTGGGTGATTTACAAATTGATTTGATAAGAGAAAAAGATACAGCATATAGTATGTGGAAAAGTTTAGAAGAAAGATATGAAAAGAAAGAAATGCCAGGACAATTAATGTTAAGAAGGAAGCTGATAAGTATGAAGTTGGGAGAAGGTGAAAGTTTGGATGTATTTTTAAGTGAATTTGAAGATATTGTACGATAATTGAAAAATACTGGAGCAGAGATAAATGAAAACGACATTGTGTGTAACTTATTATTGGGTATGCCTAAATCTTTCGAAACAGTAATAACCGTATTAGAAAATATTCTCGGAAATGAAATAAACTACGAAATGGCTAAATCAAAGTTGAGAACTGAAATTGAAAAAAAAAAAGCTACGGGGCGAATAATTACAAATAATTCAAATGCCAATGACTTAAATCATGCCACATTTATTTCCAATCGACAAGGTGTATGTTATTTTTGTAACAAACCAGGACCTTTTCAACGAGATTGCCATACAAGCGATCAAAGTGGACTTCAAGGTCAAAGTCGTGGTTACTTTAGAGGCAACAGAGGAAGATATAATAATGGAAACTTTAGAAGAGGAGTTGAGAGAAAAGGTGCATGGGGAAACTATGGAAGAGTAACCAGGGGATACCATTATGGTAACCATGGATATCAAGGAAAAGGCAAGTTTCCACAACATGTTAGAAATAGACGCAGTCATCAGGCAGAAAAGAAAGATCATCAAAGCAGTAATGAAGAGGAAGAGAGCACCTGTTTTACGTTAAAGACTGAAGTGAGTGAGGTATTAAATAAAAAAATTATTAATTTTTATATTGATCCCGGTTGTACTGATCATATTGTCAATAATAATAATAAACAAACTTTATTGCCATAAAAGAACAAAGGAAAATTGTACATTATTATAATTATCCTATATTAGCGGCGGTAGTGTAACAAAAAAAAAAAAAAAGCAAATATGATTATATTGTTATAATGACAGTGACAGTGGAAAACAAATCATAAATTCAATTCTGACCATAGAAAAATGTATGTATATTATGTATATAGAAGGTCATCTCCCCACTATTTTTCGGTACAAGCGCTCCCAAGGGGATTGTGAGGGAACTAATTAGGTTAAAGCGTGTTCGCGCCGCGTCACCCTCAGAATTATTTACACGCATGTGCGTGCGCTTAACTGGGCTGTGTTATCTTAACACGAGAGCATGCGCTCACACTCGCCTTTTAACGCGACTACAGTATTGTGCGCATCAAAAAAGTCGTTTAAAATTATTACTCTAGTGCAGTGAAAATTAAACGTAAGAATCGTAATTTAATCATNAACTACCACGAAAGCAAACTTCTTGTCTAGAAATCCAGGGATTAAATGCAATGACATCCATCTGTAATAAAGGCTCTGTTACCTGCTCTATCCAACCTATACAGTCATCGAAACCTTCCTTTGACTTTGACGCTATTATCACTCCCAGCATTTGTTCTGACCAACCATCCATTGCGTCCCTTGTTCCGCTTTATCCTCATCTTCAACAATTGAACATCCCTCCAGAGCACCATTCAAGTCTTAACTCGGTGGATTTGTTACTGGGCGCAGAACTAGTTCCTCAAATTATCACTGAAGGACGTCTTCGTGGAGAACCGAACCATCCAATTGCAGTTAATTCCGTATTTGGTTGGATTCTAATGGGGAGATCTTCGCTCTCAGTCACGACCTCACTGTCAACGTGTTTATCTACTACTGATTATTCGCTTGATAACTCAATTCAAAGATTCTGGGAACTGGAATCCATTCCTGAAAGAACGCTATTAACGTGTGAAGAGGATAAATGTGAAAATCATTTTAAAAATAATTATAAACGAACATCAACAGGTCGATTCATCGTTTCTCTGCCTTTTAAGAAACCAAATCCAGTCCTGGGCAATTCCTACCAGACAGCGTTGAAACGTTTTATGTCTTTAGAAAACCGTCTCTTAAAAACTCCGTCGTTAAGAAGTGATTATATCAACTTTATGAAAGATTATCTTCAGTCAGGCCACATGTCTCTTGCTAACTCTTTCAAACCTCCTTCTGATAGAACCTACTACATTCCGCATCACTGCGTGCTTCGTTCTGAAAACCCTTCATCAAAAATTAGAGTTGTGTTTGACGCATCAGCACCAACATCTAATGGTACATCGTTAAATGACACCCTTTTGGTGGGACATAAATTGCAACAAGACATAATAAAGGTTTTATCGTCTTTTCGATGTTTTAAGTATGCATTTGTCTGCGATATCCAACAAATGTATCGACAAATTCTTGTTTCACCTGAAGACAGAAACTTTCAGCGAATCTTATGGAGATTCTCTTCAACTGAACCTATTCAAGAATATATTTTAAATACTGTGACCTATGGAGTGGCATCGGCACCTTTTCTTGCCTTGCGAACACTAGTCGAGTTATCTAACATCTATTGTGATCAGTTTCCGAGGGCTTCAACCGTTCTAAAAAACAACATTTACGTTGACGATATAGTCACAGGAGCTCAATCGGTGCAAGAGACTTTGGAGCTACAGCGAGAATTGATTGACCTATTGAACAGAGGGGGATTTAAATTGAGAAAATGGGCGAGTAATTGCACTCACGTCTTACAAGAAGTATCTGAAACAGATTTACAGCGTCCAATATCAATGGATTACGATGAAATCAGTTACATTAAAGTTTTGGGTCTGCAATGGGATCCCACAACAGATGATTTTAAATTTTCCTATTGTCCCCGCAATTCCCTTTCCACAAAACGTTCCATACTTTCGGAAATCGCTCGTGTCTACGACCCCTTAGGCTTCTTGACTCCGTGCACCTTAAAGGCTAAACAATTTATCCAACAATTGTGGCAATTAAAAATTGAATGGGATGAAAGTCCTCCTGGTCACATATCTGAAAATTGGGAAATCTTTAAGAATGGTCTTATTTTTATTTCTGATTTAAGAATACCTCGATTGATGATTCCGTCTGACACTAAATCCGTTCAACTTCATCTTTTTTGTGACGCCTCGCAATCAGGTTATTGTGCAGTAGCGTATTTACGCTGTGAAAGTCATAACCAATCTATTAATACCTCTTTTCTTTGCGGTAAATCTAGAGTTGCACCTCTTAAGACAATATCTATTCCTCGTCTCGAACTTTGTGGCGCTGTTCTACTCGTTGATCTTCTTAAAACTATTAAGGACATGTTATCAACCACAATCATTTTCGATGTAATTTACGCGTGGTCCGATTCCAAAGTCACCCTAGCGTGGATTTCTTCATTGCCTACTAGATGGAAAATTTTCGTTGCCAATCGAGTCTCATATATCCAAGAAATTTTACCTTCAGATTATTGGGGATACATACCATCTTCCGATAATCCTGCAGACTCGAGGTATTTTTCCAGATCAGTTAATCGCTCACGATCTATGGTGGAGGGGCCCCTCCTGGCTCTGTCATCCTCCGGAATACTGGCCATCTATTAAATCTATTCCCTGTGAAAGCACAGAAGTAATTAATGAACAAAAATCAAATATAATTACTACCATTGAAACAAAACTTACTTTTATAGACACTCTCCTCATGAGATTCTCTTCACTTTCAAAAATCCAACGGATTATGGCCTACATTCAACATTCCGTTACATTCCGTTATTTTACCATCCAATTATCCCCGTTTGAGCTCCAACAATCTTTATCTTCGATTGTCCGTTATGTCCAACATCAACATTTTTCACAATTATTTACTACAATTAACGAGAATAAGATCCCTGATAAATCATTTAGAAAGTTAGCACCTTTTCTTGATAGAGATGGTTTGATTAGGGTGGGTGGTCGTATAAAATTTGCTATGATCCCCTTCGATCACAAACATCCGTTACTTCTACCTAAAAATAGTCGTGTTAGTGAATTAATTGTGGAACATATACATGAAAAATACCTTCATCCGGGACAACGGTCGCTACAAGCTCTGGTAATGCGTCAATATTGGATCATCGCTTCTCGAAGTGTCATTCATCGGGTCGTATCACGATGTATCCGTTGTTTTCGATGCAAGCCCCGATCATATGCTCCGAGGATGGCGGATTTGCCTCAATTTAGAGTAACCGAGGTGAAGGCGTTCTCCAGAGTCGCTGTCGATTTCGCTGGACCGATTTATACCACCATTAGTCGCACCAGAGGAGCGCGGTTTGTCAAATCCTATATTTGTGTCTTTGTGTGTACGTCTACCAAAGCGATACATTTAGAACTAGTTTCAGATCTATCTACTGAAGCATTTATAGCGGCTCTACGACGATTTACCTCCAGAAGAGGTCGATGTACGTTAATCTTATCAGATCAGGGAACTAATTTTGTGGGCGCCTACAACAAATTACGAGAGATGGCTGAGGTTTCCGGTCAAAAATTGGAACTCACATGGCAATTTCATCCTCCAGGGGCTCCCCATTTTAATGGGTTGGCTGAGGCTGGAGTAAGATCTGTTAAATCCCATTTGATTAAAGTTATTGGAGATCAAAAACTAACGTTTGAGGAAGTGTATACCATCCTGACGCAAATCGAAGCTGTATTGAATTCGAGGCCGCTTTCCGCAATGACTGAAGATCCCAATGATCTTCAACCACTAACTCCAGCACATTTCTTGTGTTTGGAACCCCTTAATGCTTCTGTTGTAGATCCTGACGTCACTCAAGTACCGATCAACCGTTTGGATCGCTGGAAACTGATACAGAAGATGGTACAAGATTTTTGGAAAAGGTGGCACGTTGAATATTTGTACTCACTTCAACAAAGAGGAAAATGGAACGCTTCGTCTCCAACACCGTCTATTGGTGATCTGGTACTCATTCGAAATGAACAGCGACCCCCACTTCAATGGGAAACAGGGAGAATTGAAGAGGTTCATCCCGGAATTGATGGTGTTATCCGAGTCATCACCATTAAAACCAAAAATAGGAGGTTAACTCGTCCAACCACGAAGATTAGTACATTACCGATTTAAGACAAAACCGAATCTAGTCACATGTTTTTTTTTTGTTTACTTGTCAAACTAATTAATTATTTTCGTCTACTTACCGTATGTTATGCTTATTCACTCAAACTTTAACTGTCACACCGTCAAATAACTATTCATATTTCATAAATATTATTGTAAAAAAGGGTTATTTCACCTTTTGTTGGTGGGTGGAATGTTCGCGCCGCGTCACCCTCAGAATTATTTACACGCATGTGCGTGCGCTTAACTGGACTGTGTTATCTTAACACGAGAGCATGCGCTCACACTCTCTTTTTAACGCGACTACAGTATTGTGCGCATCGATAAAGTCGTTTAAAATCAGTACTTTAGTGCAGTGAAAATTAAACGTAAGAATAGTAATTTAAGCACCTTCTTTTATTTATTCTACTTTTTTCCACATTCTTTTTTACGCTTTAATTTCATTGTTTATATCTCTGAACCAGCACCGTTTTATTAAAAGCGAGTTCTTTTCTTATACTGCGCGTTCAAACAGTTCATTGAGAAGCGTCGAAACAGGTTGATAAATTTTTAATAATTTCGTCAAAATAACATGACCTTCATAAATAAAGATAAATTTTTAATAATTTCGTCAAAATAACATGACCTTCATAAATAAAGATAAATTTTTAATAATTTCGTCAAAATAACATGACCTTCATAAATAAAGATAAATTTTTAATAATTTCGTCAAAATAACATGACCTTCATAAATAAAGATAAATTTTTAATAATTTCGTCAAAATAACATGACCTTCATAAATAAAGATAAATTTTTAATAATTTCGTCAAAATAACATGACCTTCATAAATAAAGATAAATTTTTAATAATTTCGTCAAAATAACATGACCTTCATAAATAAAGATAAATTTTTAATAATTTCGTCAAAATAACATGACCTTCATAAATAAAGATAAATTTTTAATAATTTCGTCAAAATAACATGACCTTCATAAATAAAGATAAATTTTTAATAATTTCGTCAAAATAACATGACCTTCATAAATAAAGATAAATTTTTAATAATTTCGTCAAAATAACATGACCTTCATAAATAAAGATAAATTTTTAATAATTTCGTCAAAATAACATGACCTTCATAAATAAAGATACATTTTTAATAATTTCGTCAAAATAACATGACCTTCATAAATAAAGATAAATTTTTAATAATTTCGTCAAAATAACACGACCTCCTCCTCTCCTCATCGAATCTCCTCCGACCCCCAAAAAATTTGCCGATTCAAGAACCTCCTCCTAGAACGCAGGTTCGAGGAGGAGGTTCTAGAATTGGCGAATCTATACTACTGTTCATCAAGTCTCTTTTCTTCACTGAATGATAGTCGAGAAATTAAAGCTGTTTTAATTGTGTTGTACATATCTTTATCAGGAGGTGAAGAGATAATGTCATAAATATTCGAAATGATTTCAAAAGGCAAATTTGCAACCACCAAATGATACTTGGACTTATCATTTGTTATTCGCGAAATATAAAATTGAGATTCAATTTGAGTAAACCAAATCTCGGGTTCTGATGTCCAAAAGGGTGGCAATTTAATTGAATTCAAATGTGCAATACTATCGTTAGGATTAGAAGATGAATCACCTTTTTGATTAGAATTTTCTGTCATATTGACGTTGATTAATTAAATTTATTAAAAGGAAGTAATTTTGAAATATAATTTGCTAACTTGTTGTTTTTGGGAAGGAAAGTATCTGTAACGCACTTACCGATTCCACTGCCAATTGTAAAAAATTTAAATTATACAGACGATCTTCTAAATTTTGATCTTGTGTTCTTGATTGCGATCTTGAAATTTGTTCCTTAAATTCCTTTTTATTTAATTTAATTTATTTAGTTTTCATTCTAATTCATGTTTTGTTATTTCTAACGTAAAATAACGGATTTCTTGATTTTTTGAAAAAGTAAGTAACATCAATGTGGCAGGGAATATGAGCAACGCCACAGGTGACAAGAAATTTATGATGGGCGAAAATCAAAGAAATGCATTTCAGAAAATGAAAACTTGTTTAACAGATAAACCAATATTAAAGATATTTGACCAATCACTAGATACCGAACTCCATACAGATGCAAGTGTGGCGGGACTTGGTGCATGCTTATTACAGCGTCATAACGGAAAATTGCATCCTGTTTACTTTGCAAGCTGGAAAACATCTCCTGCCGAAGAGAAATACCATAGTTTTGAGTTGGAAGCTCTAGCTATTATCAAATCGTTAGAAAAATGTAGAATTTATTTACTAGAAAAGAAATTTCGTATAATAACTGATTGTAATGCATTGCAGCAAACGTTAAAGAAAAGAGAGGTAAATAGATAGGAAATAGTGGAACATCGAAATGCTGAGAGAATGAAACATGTTGATTGTTTAAGTAGAGTATATAAGACTAATGTAATAAACGTCACAGAAGAAGTGATAGCAAATTTAGTGGCTAGCGACAAAGATATCAAGGAATTAAAACGAAAAATTCTAGATGAAGAACTCATTATGGAATAAGGGTATTCCATGTTAAATGATAAAGTGGTGAGAAAAATTGATGATAGAGTAGTATATGTTGTACCTAGAGCAATGAGAAAATCATTAGTAATGGAGACTCATGGACGACTTGTATACATGGCATTAGATAAAACATATCAAGAATTAAGACAAAATTACTATTTTAAAAATATGAAGAAATACATTAAGAAAATTAAACTAAAATTAGAACTAAAACTAGAACTAACACTAGAAACTTTCGGGTTTTGCCGTGCGTCTTTTAATAAAGGGTTTGACGTTTCGGATGCCATGTTGCAACCTTCTTCAGAAACTGGTTCGACGAGAAATTACGACAAAATCAAGAAAAATCGAAACAATATTATGATTACCGACGAAAACCGCATATGAGATATAAAGAAGGAGATTTGGTTATGGTCGAAAGGGTGGCAGCACCTACAGACCGAGTGGCTAAGATGGGAAGTAAATTTATTGGACCATATCGTATTAATAAAGTATTGGACAAAGACCGATACATTGTGAAAAGTATTCCTGGGTGTGAAGTAACTCAAAAAGCTTATGAAGGCGTTATTCCGCCGGAACGACTAAAACTGTGGATTAGACATGAGGATAGCGAGAGTGAAGATGAAGAGGAAGGCGAGGATGAAGAAGTTGAAGACGGAGAGGAGGAAAATGTTGAAGACGGAGAAAAGGATGTGAACGAGGACGTCACAGGATCAGGAGAGGCCGAGCTGTTAGCTTCCTGGGACCCGATGACGTCGATGGGGAGCGTCGATGACGAAATCCAAGAAGAGAGAGAGAGAGACGTTAGAGTTAGTTAGTTAAGAATCGGACGGAGAACAGAGTAGACTTTGGGTGTGGTTCGAGACAATTATTGAGATAGTTATTGTTATTTTTCGTTTAATAAAGTCGTTTATTGTGAACAAAGTTGTGTTTGACTGATTACTGAACGCTCGGCCTTAAGCCTACACACGAAAAGAACCTGAGATTCCTCTACGACCTCGAAAGTTACCGCGATTGCGATATGGTCCTCTCTGAATACCACGATCGTTATTTCTAAATTCAGCATAATTACCTTGGTTGTAATTGTGACTATTGAAATTATTATATCCGCGATTATTGTATGAGGAACAACATTATTATTTCCTCGATTGTACCCATTAAATGGTCTAGAATTCCGAAAATGTGTTCTTCTGGTTTGATTACCTCTACCATTCGTTTGAAAAACAGTAGATGAAGAGGGTTTGTTCGCACCAAAACGTAAAATAGGCGAACTAATAAAGAGGTGCTGGTAACAGCGAAAAAAAAATAAAACCAGAAGGAAATTTGAATTAAAATAAAAAATTAAATTGTATTTAAAAATAAATTATAAAAAAAATAAAATAATATTAAATGTATAAATCAAAGTTAAGAGAGAAAGGTGACAAGCGAATTAGCGAAAATAAGAATATTAATAATTGGTTAACGTACCAAGCACGTAGCGAATAAAATCTGGCACCTGCGACTACACACAATTGCGGACAGCGAGCGAGAGAGATCTCGTCAACGATCGATCGAGACCAGCGATCGCGACAGCGACAGCGGCCTCTTCCGCGTGAAAAGGGTTTTACAATTTGCGCGGTCATTAGAAAAATATAATTGTCGCAGAGCGAACAGGGTTTATTTATTTCCGCATTTAATGCAACGTTAATTGCATCTTTTAGGGTTTTACAATTTCGCGCTTTAAGGATTGTTCTTAATTCATGATTTTTCAACCCGTTGCAAAATAAATTTATCGCGAGTTTTTCATTAACAATGCGTAAAGAACTTAGTAAATTTTCATCATCACCCGCTTGTGCCAAAGTTAAATCAGTAAGTAACTGTTCCATGTCCCTACCAAGATTATCAACTGTGTTACTCTGTGCCGGGAATTATGGAGTTGATTGGGCAGAGTGGTGGCAGATTTTCGAGCTGTAAAATTTTCTCTTATATCTCTTATAAGCGTTTCAACAGTATCATATTTTTTATTTAACCTTACTTTAGCATTGTCAAATAGTCTGGATTTTAAAACATATTTAATTAAAAGTATTTTACCATCTGCATTTAACAATTCAGAATATAATTCAATTGAATCTATTAATTGTTTTGTAGTTTCCTCTTTTCCATCCATTAATGGAAGTAAACTACCTGCTGTTTTAAGATCAAAAGTTTTCCCCATACTTATTTCTAAAGCTTCGCTATTTATATTTAACCTATTATCTAACATACCCTGAATTTCTAGAACTATATTATCTATCCCTGAACTATAATATTTAATGTTTTCAATTTTATCAACATTTGATGTATCCCTCTTTAATTCTACATTTAATGATTCTAACCTAACTCTAAATTTATTTAATTCATTCAAACGTTTTTGAGTGGAATCTTAATTTTTCCTTCTTTCTTTATTATCCTTCAAAATATTAGTTTTAAATGATTTAATTTCTACCAGCA